CATTTTTTAGCTGGTTTTTCTTTTCCGAATGACAGAAATCCGCACAGGGTGTGATGTTGTCTAGAGATCCTTGTTCTGTCTTGTTCTGTGTGCTGTTTGTTGTGATGCAGGCATGTCAACCCACAAATGATCTCAACGTTCTGTGTGATTGACATGCAAAGTTTTGAGAGTAAGTTTAGGAAAGCCTGCAGCTCTTAGTTTCCTCGTTGCCGTGTGTTGGTGAAGTGAATCGATTGTAGGCTGCTGCACTGACTCAATTTGCTACTCTAAGTATGTTAGATCCTACTATAATTCATTGCTTGCTATCATTACCTCTGTGTTTACAAGTTATGTATAATGGAGAGAGAGAGAGAGAGAGAGAGAGAGAGAGAGAGAGAGAGAGAGAGAGAGAGAGAGAGAGAGAGAGAGAGAGAGAGAGAGAGAGAGAGAGAGAGAGAGAGAGAGAGAGAGAGAGAGAGAGAGGGGGAGGGAGGGAGGGAGGGAGGGAGTTAGATCACCCCTAATCACACGCACACACCTAACAGTATGTAGCTTGAGATCAAGTGGTGTAATTTCCGTCTGTGCATGTTCATTTATTTCTCTGCTTCCCGCAGTCCTTCACGCACATGAGCTGCTACGAAATGAGAACGTGATGAGTCTGTGTGTTGTCCACTTCGCAAACGAACCGGAACCGTTTTTCTGCGTTGGAACCGCTATTCCTGAGAAAGATGATGATCAAGAGGAGAAGCAAGGTTACATTCATCTCTTCCAATGGAGAGACTGTAAGTGAAGCAAGTGTTGCTAGCGTACCGTGCTCCAATTTCTGACAAATGTAGGTGCTCGAAATGTTTAGGTATGTGGCCAGAAGACTATGGTATTGGTCGCAGAAGAGAAATCTTAAGTACAGAGAAGCAGTTCCCTATAGGGCTTGAAAGTGATGACGTCAAAACGACAAGGAAGTAGTGAGTTCACATCAGATTTCTACTTTTGGATCCACTAAGGTGTGACTTTGCTATTGCCTCAGTGTGTGGGTGCATAGCAACCCACGCATGTCGTATGCAGGTGTGACTTTTTCTTCGCCACCAGTTGTCACCCCACCCCCATTAGCCAACCCAGTCAATTTCACCGGCTACAGTCAACTTCGCCAATAACGACATTCGGCGGGGCATCAGAAAAGTGTCCTTATTCGCGAAGTGTCCTTATAACCGAAGTCCCATTTGAATGTATGTGAACCCATATTTTGTATAGTATGACATGCATATCAAAATCAAGCTCTTTTCTTGCTCTATGTCAATGTGTACTTTATTTTCATATTGCAGTTGAAAGGAACTAAAAATTCAATATGCAAGGGAAATCAATTGAAAAGTATGCCTTTTTGAGCCATCTACAGGGCCAGAGACATGTACATGTATGATGATTACTGTACAATCTTGTACAACTACATGTACATTGTATACATATACATGTAGGTGTGCTGGTAAATCCAACAACTTTGAAGCCAACATAAAAAGGAAGAAAAGCCCCCCTTGGCTGCATTTTCTTGCATGTGTGCATTATATCCATCACCATAGGTTCTGGTACTTCTGCATGACAGGTACATGACTGTACATGTACATGTACTTGACTGACAGGTACTTGAAATAGCTGTCAAAAGCCCAGAAAGTCGTTATTCAAGCAGTGAATATGACCTCGGGGCACTAAAAGCATGTCGCTATACGCGAATTGTCGTTATTCAGATAGTCGTTATATCCGAAGTAAAATGTGTACAGTTAGATGGGACTTTGCTCCGGGCATGGAAATTCGGTCGTTATTCGCGAATCGTCGTTATATCCGCAGTCGTTATTAGCGAAGTTGACTGTATATCACCTTGCTGTGAGTAATACCGCTTGGAATGTACTTGGATCCATACAAAAACTGGATCCAAGTGGATCCAATTTTTGAAGTTTTGAAATTGTTGCTATGCTACGACGTAGCACTTTCAAGCCCTATTGGATGATACGTATCCGTGATTATGCAGCGATTGAAATTTTAGGTATGAAAGAGATGCACCGAAAGTTACCGAAAATAAAAGTACACCGAAAAGCTGTGGAAATTACAGTCCTGCAAACCGCCCAATATTCGCGTCACTAAATGTTTGCGACTTTTCTCAGAACCAACGAGTTTACGATGGCAATTTTTTGCAGACCACACTGTGGTCACACACGTACTCCCACTGGTGAAGTTTGATTTCACGATGGTTAATACTTGCCGCGTTATGCTCTTCTCTCGCAAAATTAGCAAACATGACTACGTCTCAAACATTAGGCAGTTCACAGTACTATGTTGGTTGTGCAAGCACCTGTGCAGTGGAGTCTACTCGACACGAACACAACAACACGCAAAAGACGAAATTTGGGATAAGACGAAAGAAAGTCACGCCGGAATTCATGTCTTGCGGGAGAAATTTCCGCTAACATGAATTTCTGACGGCAGGAGAAACATTGCCTGATCCCCTAACATTCATGTTCAATTTTGATTAGTGGATTTCACTGTATGTGCCCTATTGTAAGCCACAGCTGAGTATTATCTAAATCTACAAAGAACAGTTCGTGGATTTGTACATGACATTGTGTTGTTTGCCACAGCTTGCATGCTGTCCTGTGCATAGCAGGTTGCAAACCTGCAGGGAGGGTCCTGCTCGGGGTTCACAGGCTCGTGAATTAACTGGTACCCGGTGACTGCTTGGTTTCTTGGCTGCACGCACAGATGTACATGTACATTCGGATGTTTGTTGATGCGCATTTCACTCCCGCACTCTATATTGATTTGACGGGAGGAGGTACTGGCCCTATTTTTTCCGAAACTGACCTGCTGCTGTCGTTGGCATTGTTTGTGTTGCCTCTGTTACTGGACCTGCTGGCCTGCCTGCGTGTAGCCAAGTTTCTTCCCGTGGCACAGAAGGAGGTCGGTGGTGCAGTCTACTCCCTATCTAACTTCAATGGAAAGCTACTGGCGGCTGTGAACAACTGTGTAAGTTTACCGGCGGCCGCTGCTTGTGCAAGAAACTGACCGTATGTACAGTACAATGTACAGAGTACAGTGTGTGTACAGTACGGTGGTCCCTTTATAATCTGGCACCATTTGTGCTAAAGAAATTCTGCTGGATTAGGGAGGGTGCTGGAGTAACAAATCTGATCTACTGTTGCAATGTGCTGGAAGAGGACATTTTGGCTACTGAAAAGTGCTGGTTTATAACGTGCTGGATTAAAGAGGGACGGCTGTAACCTGTGTTTAACAATGAACCTGGGTGGGGGGGGGGGGGGAGGGGAGGGGGAGGGGGAGGGGTGCATGTCTGTTTGTCTGCACAGGTAGTTCAATTGGTATGCTTGTGGCATGTGGAATGTAGACCGTTATCATGTACCTTGTAGTATCTATCTTTCTACTCATCTATCTATCTTTCTTTCTTTCTTTCTTTCTCGTCTATCTATCTATCTATCTTTCTTTCTTTCTTTCTTTCTACTCGTCTATCTATCTATCTTTCTACTCATCTATGTATCTATCTTTCTACTCATCTATCTATCTATCTTTCTACTCATCTGTGTATCTATCTATCTATCAGTTTGAGCACTCTGGCAAGGTACGTTCGGGCCTGGTTCAAATCTGGCTTTGGAAAATTTATTTCTCATTGCTATCAGGTTCGGCCTCATTTTCCCTGCGCTGCGCTGATAAGTCCACAAAGGACGAAACAGTTCTGTCCGCAGATTGAGTATCTATCTACGTATCTACGCAGGCTATGTTGTTAAACCCTTGCAAAAGTGCTCAATAGCATGAGGGCAGAGGCAAAACACAAGTTAGTTAGCAATGGAACTACTTCGAAGTACCGTATTTCCCCAAATACAAGTCACGCCTTTTTACAATATATTCCAGGCCCACCAACGGGGTTGCGACTTACAATCGAGCGTGGCTTGCTACTGAAGTGAACATATTGAAACGATAAAACATGAGCCTGAAAATGGGAATGCGACTTACAATCGGGGAAATCCGGTAGGCTGAAGTATGTTGTCTGAAGATTAGGGGATAGCCATGAAACTCTGAGTAACAACATTCTTCAGTCTTGTTCCATTGCTAATTTGTATTTTACCTAGCATCTATCTCTGTGCGCAATGTCATTTTAGTTTCCTTCTTTGCATCGCTGGGTGCAGGGTGGTGGTAGGGTGCAGGGTGGTGGTAGGGTGCAGGGTGGTGGTAGGGTGCAGGGTGGTGGTAGGGTGCAGGGTGGTGGTAGGGTGCAGGGTGGTGGTAGGGTGCAGGGTGGAGGTAGGGTGCAGGGTGGTGGTAGGGTGCAGGGTGGTGGTAGGGTGCAGGGTGGTGGTAGGGTGCAGGGTGGTGGTGTTCCTATGTATGCTGAAAACTCAGTCGAATAAGTTTGCATCTTCCCTCAAACCTATTATTAATAATAAGTTTATTAATTAATAACTGAGTCTCAAGCGAACCATGATTTTTTGCATTGCTGCCAACATTGCTGCCAACATTGCTGCTGTCCGTTGTTGCCGTTGCCGTGGCTTTTCAGGTGGCCGTTTACGAATGGACGGACTCCAAGGAACTTCGCTGCGAGTGCCAGCATCAGGAGTTCATCATGTGTCTTTTCTTGAAAGTCAAGGGTGACTTTATATTGGTGAGTATTGTCTGGGGATCCCCCTTCCTACTTTCGTCTCCTGCTTGTGCTCTTTGCATGACTTTGTTGTTGCTACTTGAGTACCTTACTAGGTACACACTGCATTACCCCACATCGCCATTTAACTCCAAGGTTCACGATTCATGCTTGATGCAGCCATCGGGCGACTAAAGAACGCGTGTGTTTTCTCTCCTACCCGCTCACTCGTTCCCCCGGTGCTGCTGCTGCTAGTGCTGCTGCTGCTGCTGCTGCTGCTGGTGGTGGTGGTGCTGCTGGTGGTGCTGCTGGTGGTGCTGCTGCTGCTGGTGCTGCTGCTTCTGGTGCTGGTGGCGCTGCTGCTGCTGGTGCTGCTGCGGGTGGTGCTGCTGGTGGTGCTGCTGGTGCTGCTGGTGGTGGTGGTCATGCTGCTGGTGGTGCTGCTGGTGCTGCTGGTGGTGGTGGTCATGCTGCTGGTGGTGGTGGCATGTGAATTTCATTCTGTGCATGAAGTGAGTCGCCGTTGTATGACCCGGTGTATACTGGCTAATCCAACCCAGTTTGACAGTGAAATACTGTAATCCAACCCAGTTTGACAGTGAAATACTGTAATCCAACCCAGTTTGACAGTGAAATACTGTAATCCAACCCAGTTTGACAGTGAAATACTGTAATCCAATCCAGTTTGACAGTGAAATACTGTAATCCAACCCGGTTTGACAGTGAAATACTGTAATCCAACCCAGTTTGACAGTGAAGTACTGTAATCCAACCCAGTTTGACAGTGAAATACTGTAATCCAGCCCAGTTTGACTGTGAAATACTGTAATCCAACCCAGTTTGACAATGAAGTACTGTAATCCAACCCAGTTTGACAGTGAAATACTGTAATCCAATCCAGTTTGACAGTGTTTGACAGTGAAATACTGTAATCCAACCCAGTTTGACAGTGAAATACTGTAATCCAACCCAGTTTGACAGTGAAATACTGTCACTGCACAGACGTTCCCATGGTGAATGCGCTCTTGTGTGTACCTGCGCATCACGGCAGTTCAGCGTGCCGGGTTTTGTGTACGCGTTTGCAACTTTGCACTCGTGTAGAATCGAGCTGAGAGCTTGTTCTTGTTCTTGTTCTTGTTCTTGTCGTCGGTGTCGTTGTTGTTGTGCTCAGTGTGGTGACTTGATGAGATCGCTTTCATTGCTGCAGTACAAGGTGGAGGGCACACTGGAAGTGGTAGGTTCATATCATTCTACATGTATATTGCTTTTGCATATCAGCACTGTGGAGCTTTGGGGGGGGGGGGGGTTGAGTAGCTCTGGCCCCCATTCGTATTTCGTAGTGCCCATTTTAGCCGTCCATTCATCTCTTCGCTGACTGGATGTTTGAAAGTTCAATGGACATACTTATTACAGTAGTCTGAGCATAGATTGTCCAAATATCGATTATCCAGACGTTCAACAACTAGTATCCGGAATGGCTGGGACTCGCAAAAAAAGAAGAAGAAGAAAATGCGCAATGCAGGACTTGAGTTGGCCAGTGCAGCCATGTAGACTGTAGATCTACCAGGTAGTGTGTGTGTGCGTGTGTGTGCGTTGCTGGCATGCCCGTCAATGCATGGTAGAATGACTAGTGCATTAGAGCATAATCAGCATATGCAGTTGTGTGTAGATAGCTTGGCTGTCCGATGTGTACAGTCCTAATACTTCAAGTACATACATTGTACATAATCGTGTAATGGCTGCTGGCCGAGCAACAATCCGTGTCCATTAGAGGCTGTGTGGGTGTGGGTGTGTGGGTGTGGGTGTGTGGGTGTGGGTGTGGGTGTGGGTGGGTGTGTGGGTATGGTATGGTATGGTCTGTGTATGGTCTGTGTATGGTCTGTGTATGTGTGTGTGTGGGGGGGGGGGGGGGGGGGGGGGTGATGGGAGAATACTCAAATAAGTTATCGCCGCACCAGGCCCGATCTGGAGTGCATGCTCCAAATCTATGATGCCGCGTCAAAGGAAGGATAACTGCAACGCATGTGCTGGCGTGTGTGCTCTTGGACAATGCAACGTTGCGTAGAGTTAAGTTGTGGCCGCACAATAGTCAGTTTATTCCCGCAATAAACATTGCTCGTAACTCTATTTTAATATGTACCCAGTACTAGTACATGGAATACATAAACACCATAGGCCGGGAGTGCAGCTAGGACCCAACGGGGATGAAACGAGCGACAATACAGCGACGAGAGCGTTTTCTCTACTCAGCGAACACGTGTGTGCGTGCGTGTGTGCGTGTGTGTGTGTGTGTGTGTGTGTGTGTGTGTGTGTGTGTGTGTGTGTGTGTGTGTGTGTGTGTGTGTGTGTGTGTGTGTGTGCATATGTGTATATGTGCGTGTGTGCATATGTGCACATGGGTGTGTGCGTGTGGATGTCGGAGTATGTGGTGTGATGTGTGTGCGTGAAAAAAATGAAAAAGACCAAAAAGTAGGGATTCACTGGCCAGAAAAAGCCACTTCATAGCTGTGTGGTGTAGACCAGGCTGAATAGTGGCGGTCAATTCTTCAGCCTTGCAAGCTGTTGAATGGTGCAATCCCAGCACAAGCTGGTATGGCTTCTGCTGTAGCATCGCTATCATCGCCTCCGGCGATGGGCGTCCAATGGTCCAATGGTGTGTGTGTGTGTGTGTGTGTTCCTGCAGGTTGCATCCGACTTTCAAACTAACTGGGTATATGCCATTGACATTCTGGATTACGATTCGTTCATTGGTGCTGAAGAGTACGGCAACTTATTCACAGTGATGCGAGACAGGTCAGTGTGTATAGGTGGTAAAACCCTGACTGCGTTGTGTATTCCTGTATTGTATTACCATGATTACTTCCCCTGGAAACAAAGATTGTGACTTCCATCAACTGGTCAGTTCTGGCCCATCGTGCTCTGTGGAATCAAGCGATGGTGACTTTGAGTAAAACTTTAAACAGTGTCAGTTTGCATTCTGTATAGTGGACATATATCTGCTCATTGTCGTGGAGTGTTTTTTTCTTCCATTGAGCCAGATTTTATTGAAGTTATAACAGATCACATGTCCTGTAAAGCCACATGCTAGGACTTTCTAAGACAATCATATTAGTTTTTTTAGTGTGCAGTGTGAGGTTTTGAAAACTGAAATTTTCTTGTGCTCTAAATGTCATTCCATGCCTTGGCAAATGGGTATGTGTATTTGTGCTTGGTGTGTGTGTGTGTGTGTGTGTGTGTGTGTGTGTGTGTGTGTGCGTGCGTGCGTGTGTGCGTGCGTGCGTGTGCGTGCGTGCGTGTGTGTGGGGGTGGGGGTGGGTGCATGTGGGTGTGTGGGTACACTTGCTTTACAATGCAGCTCTGCAACAAGTGACGATGAGCTGCGACGACTCAGTGTGACCGGACGTTTCCACATCAGTGATCATGTCAATGTGTTCAGACACGGTAGGTGCATTCACGTACACATCAGTGATCATGTCAATGTGTTCAGACACGGTGGGTGCATTCACGTACACATTAGTGATCATCTCAATGTGTTCAGACACGGTAGGTGCATTCACGTACACATTAGTGATCATGTCAATGTGTTCAGACACAGTAGGTGCATTCACGTACACATCAGTGATCGTGTCAATGTGTTCAGACACGGTAGGTGCATTCACGTATACATCAGTGATCATGTCAATGTGTTCAGACACGGTAGGTGCATTCACGTACACATTAGTGATCATGTCAATGTGTTCAGACATGGTCGGTGCTTTTACGTACACAAGAGTATGCAACTTCGCATGTGGGTACAGGACAGTGTGATTTCTTGTTTACATCATCTTGAAGTAAAAAATACAGTAACAACTGATGCCACAGATCGTATTGATTCCGTGCAACACTGTATTTGTGGATCTTGAATCTCGATGATTCATCTCAAATGACGTATTATAAAGAGGCCGTCCGTAAATTCAGAAATATAATGTCTGGATAGTGATTGAATTTAGGCCGTTTGTGTGTTTGTGTGTGTTGTGTGTGTGTGCACGCGCGCTCATGCGTGTGTGCACACACGTTTTGTGTGTGTGTGTGTGTGTGTGTGTGTGTGTGTGTGTATGTGTGTGCATGTGCGCTTGCGCGTATACACGTGCATGTGTGCGAGTGTATTTGCATGTATTCAGGTTCTTTGACGATGAAAGATAACGAGTCAAAGCTGCGACTCAGCTCTGTGCTTTTTGGCACTGTGTCTGGCTCTGTCGGTAAGACATGCTGCAATTCCTTCGCTTTTACGCCATCATTCATAGTTACCAATCTATCCATGGAATTTTGCACCATAAATATTTCCTTCAGTGTCCAAATTAGACCCGGATGGGGAGTCAAGGATTTTTTTAAATTTAAGACGACCATATGTTGTGAGCGTTTCCGAAGTGTGCCGTGGTCCTTTGCCATCATCTTGTCATGGGTTTGCTGTGATGTTTAGCTTGTTTTTGTCTGGAGTGCGCTCATCTTCCCCTTTCTTACGTTATTTCATGGCTCAGAAGTTAGAACCTTCCACATTGGAAGCCTGTTGGTTTTGCGCATTCCAGACTTGATGCAGCTTAGCATCAGGTCGTTGAATGTCAGTATGACAACAGTCAGTTTTGTGTTAATTGTTGCACATTCTGACTCGCCATTATCCTGCTTATAACCGTTAGTGTTGGGCAAAACGGATAAGGGGTCGTCCACGAATACCGAAGTTTTTTCACAAAACGAACTAATTTCATTATTGGGTGGGAGGGGGTTGACCAATTTCGTTTCAGAAAACATTGATACATGCACACGGCCATAGGAGCAGTGACACACTTGCGACTTTTGCATGTATTACGTCAACATTTTTTTACGTTCTGAGGGGGAGGGAGGGAGGGAGGGGTTGGGTCCAAACTAAAATAAAATAATCCGTTTGGTGAAAAAGTGCGATATTCACAGACGGCCCCTAGCTGTAAACTTACTCAGTCTGCGGACAGAACTGTTTCGTACTTTGTGGACTCATCAGCGCACACAGAGGAAATGAGGCCGAACCTGATAGCAATGAAAAATAAACTGGTAAACTTATGTTCCTCTCCTTTTTCATTACGATAGAGAGGTTCCGGGTACGATTTTCCGTGCCAAAATCCGTATGGGCGCTACGGATTTTTTCCAGGCGTGCTCCATACGATTTTTCGGCACGGAGAATCCGTGTGGACTGGCTTTCATACGAACCATGTTTCGTATGGAGATTTTGCGTCATCGGGTGCATAAAGATTTTTCGCGTACAAATTTGGTACGAGAAACATCGATTTTCCGCGGGAAGTTTTTGATTTCGGTACAAATTTTCAAAATAAAAAAGCATAGCGCGGGAATGTGACGTGTTTGCGATCGTAACCTAGGCAATGACGGCAAACACATAAGTTCCGTACCCCGGAACTTTTCACTGCTCGAAAACGACGTATAAAATATCCGTAGCGCCTCCACGGATTTTGGCACGAAAAATCGTACTCCGGAACCTCCCTAATTTCCAAATTCAATCTAACGAATATGAATTGATTGTGGCCAGGAGAGACACGCATGGTGGCATAATGCGCCCACAATATTCTGTGGTACATATTTGGAAGGAGCTCTCTCTCTCTCTCTCTCTCTCTCTCTCTCTCTCCCTCTCTCTCTCCCTCTCTCCCTCTCTCTCCGTCCGTCTCTCCACAGGTGTTATCATTACATTGAAGAAGGAGACGTTCGAATTCCTGCAGGAACTGCAAAACAAACTGGCAGCCGTAATAACCACTGTGGGCAACATACCATTTGCCGAATATCCTCTTTCCCACGCAAATATGTCTATGTGCCTTTATGTCTTGCTTCTGCACTGAAGTTATGTGCATGTATGCTCTTACAACTGGTCTTGTTTTATAACTTGTGGACTATCGGATCAGATATAGTGTTACCTGCTGCCCTTAAAGAGCTGAGGAATGCCGATTGAAGCACGAAAGTTGTGTCCATCGTCAGTGACCTGGCTGGAAAGATAAATCCAAGAGACAATGATTGTGTGTTGTCCTATCGTGCTGTGTGGGAAGTGTGCGATATCAATGGCATGGGCTAGGTGAGGCAGAACATAGGAAAGTCAAGGAGCGAGTGGTATCGGATAGTTTGTTTCATGTTATTTATTAGTAATGTAGTTAACTGACTCTCTGTTGTGTCAGATTCCCGGTGCTCGCTACATGGGCGAGTAGGCTTGCAGCCAACCATGTATATGTAGCGTTGTAGGTTTATCATCGAGCTCTACAGCTGTTGCTTACCTTAACCTGGTCTGGCCCGCACGTTCCGATCATTTGCGTCATCCGGCCGTCGCGAGCCTATGTTCGGCTTCATTGACGGAGATCTCATTGAAAGTTTCCTGGACCTTCCGACACACAAGATGGAAGAAGTTGCATCAGGGTTGCAGGTGAGTGATTGGTTTTGCGTTTGGGTCTGGGTCATCAGCAAAGGCTATGTGACATATGTGTGTTTGTGTGTGTGTGTGTGTGTGTGTGCGTGCGTGCGTGCGTGCGTGCGTGTGCGTGGGCACACCCAACTCTTACTAGTGGGTGCTGGAGGAGACTCGGAGAGTGCAAAGAATATGATCGTGTAGCTACACATCAGGCATGCAAGTAATGCCATGTTTCTTGTTTGTGTTGTGTGTTTTGCACCATTTCTTGCTGACAGAGAAGTGAAGGCCCAGACCGCACAGTTCCAGTCACAGTCGACTATCTGAATAAGTTCGTAGAGGAACTGACCCGCTTCCACTGAACACACGCACGGCCGAGCTGTGTCTGCCTGCTGTGTGTGTGCCCCTCAAGTCAATTCGAGCATGTTTGCTCTTGGCGTATGCTGGAACTAGTGTAGCCCGTGTGCTCGGCGGGACTGTGCTTTACCTCGTCGAGATCTGTGCAACGGCGGCGAGATTTTAACTTTGGCTCCGGTCTCCAACGGGAGCGCGCGCCGATGAATGTTCTGTGTATGCAGCAGCGCGGCCTGTTGTCACACAGCTGCCCGCTACCGACACCACCGAGCAACGGCGCAAGTGTCGACCGTATGCGGCTCGCACTTCTGCATGCCACGTCAGCCGCATCGCCGTGTTCTGCCATGCTCTCGCTCTCCTCTCGCGGATTCTGCTCATCATCCGTGTCGCGAGTGGTGACCAACACGTGTAGTTAGACATGCTTCAGATTTTTGAAAAGGTTTTTTAACTCTCCATCTCACACGGCGCACATCTGTTGATTGTTTTCGCCCCAGTTGTGTGGGTTTGTTCGATTGTTGGGATTGCTAGCACCCTGAATGCACACATGCCAATTCACTCACATTATGATGCTATTATGCTTGTGTTTTCCTGCTAACAACCTAACAGTTACTTGGACTTGTTTTTACGTGCTCCCGAGCGAGACAACCTGGTGTGCTGTGTACAACTGTATACTTCAAAAGTATGTGCATTGTTTTCTTTTCGTCTTCTTCTGGTTGTTGTTGTGTGTTTGTATATTTGTGTGTGTGTGTGTGTGTGTGTGTGTTTGTTTGTTTATGTATCTACGTGTGCACCGCCCCAACTTGCCCAAGCCAAGTGCATGTACTTTCTTGGTGACATATCGCCTTGAGAGATTTTCTCTCCTTTTTTTGGCTCTTTTCCACCTAGCGCTTGCCTGGTAGGCACTGGCTGCCTGTCCTGTGCGTTCCATGCATTGTTGATTGCTGAAGTGTGATCATAGTCGTGTGTAATGGTACACGTGTCCTTGTCATCTATGGATGTTTGTTTGAGCTTTGCTCTTTGCTGAATTGGGGTGTGTCAACTCTCGCTAGCATTGATCATTAAGTTAATTGTAAGGGCAGCACAATTCTTCATGAAAAAAAACTAAAACGGTACACACTGTCATACCAATCGGTTAATCCTGTATCAAACTGACAAAGGTCATAAACTGAGTACGATCACACCCACTGAATGTACTACAACTGGCTGTACCTGCTAAATATGGGACAAGTTGCCCCTGTAAGGAAGGTGGCGGCCATGTTTTATGCATAAACCCCAGGCCCAAGGAAATGTGCATACTGTAAAACATGTAAATTTAGGGGTATTAGAATTTCGGTGTCAGGGACTTGATGGGTTTCAGGTGTAACTTAGAATTGAGTGACCAACATTCCCTTCACATACGATTGTGCCATTTAGGTGTAATCTAAATTTAGGTAGGTGCCTGTTTTATCTACCGAAATCAAAGTTACACCGAAAATAACCTGTCATACAGTAATAGTATTGCTCAGTTCAGTACTCGAACTGATATTGATGTACTCCCAGACACACACACCATGTACGCACTACATGTAGCCATAGTAGTTGATAGCCACCCAGGAGAATCAAATGGAGTCCAAGGACTGCGGCAAGAATGAGAAGAAGCCTGAAGGACAAGTGCAACAGACAGCCATGCAACTCTTGTGCGGAATAGACGCACGTCTTCCAGATTGGAAATGACGGCAATGATCACACCAGTACCAGCGCACCATACGGGACACACCAACACAAATGCGGAGAAAAGAATGCAAGCCCACTCGACACCGAGGCAGAGATGTCACACTATAAAAGATAGCCTTCCTGCAAGTTCCTGGACCAGAGCATTTTCATCATGAAAAAGGATAGCAAAGCAATGTGTGGCAAGAAAACTAACAACAACACAGAGTAAACGAACAGTACAACGGCAGCGCAGGGAGAGGGTGGAAGACGGCAGGTAGAGTACTATCGACTCGAAGGATAACGGTAATTGAAATATTTATACGACAATTAAAAAAATATTCTCCACTTGAATGCACAGGTCTTGCATTCGGGAAGTAGGAGAGTAAAGCGAGTAACTACAGGATCACTGGGCTGCATTACTAGGACTAGCGCACACACAGGACGCTGAGCTGGGCACGATATATCGCCCGGCCGCGCTGAGAAAGCCGCTGCCTAGGGATGACGTCAGTGCTTCTTCACACGACGCCGGAGGTCATGTGTAGGAAAATTCAAATAGAATGCTAGGACGGGCTGCGGGGCGGGGGTTACTGATTTAACTCTATCATGTGAATGTTTCTAGTAGCGTGATTGGGGAGTTTGTAGACGTCGCAGACATTTACTCGTTTGCCTCTACATAGTTGGCCGGGAACAAGCCGTAGTGGCCTCGACAGCTGCCCTGCCACCAGCCATCATCAACCACAACACAGTTGGTGATGATCTCACCGGGGTCAAAGCTGATCTCGTCGACATCTCCGGCCTGATAATCATAGACAGCTGTGCAAGAGAAGCCTTCGCCTTCAACTTCACCGCCGTCGGCCTCCCCTTCCTCCTGCTGATACTCAGCCTCAGCCGACTCCTGGTATTGTTGTTGCTCAGCCTCAGCTTGTTCCCGTGCATAGCGCTCCTCCTCAGCTTGTTCCTGTGCATAGCGCTCCTCCTCAGCTTGTTCCTGTGCATAGCGCTCCTCCTCAGCAAGGCGCCTCTGCTCTTCTTCCTCCTGTTGCCAAACACGACGGTCTTCTTCTTCCTGTTGCTGGACACGGCGCTGCTCTTCCTCCCGCTCCCACTGTTCTTGCATTCGCCGTCTCTCCTCTTCTTCTTGCTCTGCCGCAGCTGCCATTTGCTCCTGTCGCCGTTGCTCTTCTTCCGCACGACGCTGCTCTTCCTCGACTTGCCGCCTTGCCTCTTGTTCCTTGCGCTGCTTGTCTGCCGCAGCACGGCTCTCAGCAATCTCACGCCGCCGCTCCTCTTGTTTGCGCTGTCTCTCTTCATCGGCCTTGTCCGTCTGCGACATGTTCTCGAAACGGCTGGCAATGCTGCCAGTTGCCGATCCTCGCTTGACCGGGGCAGGTTTGCCAGCGGACGGTTTGGGCGGTTTGTTGTCGGACTTGGCCATGGATTCAAACTTACTGCGGGCACTGGACGCGCCACCACTGCCAACGATTTCAGCTTTCTTGTACGATGTGCCCTGAGTAGCTTCCATGGAATCATACCCTACAGCAGACTTATCAACACGATCTGTCTGTACACCATACTTTCCGCCAAATCCATGCTTCATATCCTTAGTGGACGCATGGGCCTCTGTCTGGCCTTTGTAGTCATGGCCAACTGCAGACTTGTCCATACGATCCGTTTGAACACCAAACTTACCACCGAAGCCTTGCTTCATATCCTTGGTGGACGCGTGAGCTTCTGTCTTGCCTTCGTAATCGTGGCCCATAGCGGATTTGTCCATTCGGTCTTTCTGCACACCATATTTGCCACCGAAACCTTGTTTCATGTCCTTGGTCGAAGCGTGAGCTTCCGTCTTTCCTGCATAATCGTGACCAACAGCCGATTTGTCCATCCGATCGGCCTGAACACCATATTTACCACCATAGCCGGCTGCGAAGTTTGGAGTGGCTTCTTTGGTCTTCTCGGCATGATCGTTTACTACACCACCTCGGAGCTTATCCATGCTGAAGGCCTCTTGGCGACCGGAGCCCTCGATGGCCTTTGAACCCCATCGCTGCTCCTTCTCTGACACATCATTGACGAAGTCAGCATCAGTGTCCCAATCGTCATCATCCGCCTCGATTTGAAGTGACTTGTTGTGGCCCGTTGTTGCTTTCCACATGGTGGTGTACGGAATGCAGGACTATTAGAAAAATGCTACGATGTAGAAGGCAGAAACTAAAAGGTCCAAAACTGAAGAGAGGAGAGAACTGCAGCTTTTGAAGTAGACTGAAGCAAATAAATAGGAACAGCTTCCCGGCTTCTGAGACTCTACGTACAACATTTCAGGAAGCGGTCGCGCGTCTCATCGCGGTTGCGTCGAGCAGCTTGACGAGGCTAGGCTACTCGCTTGCATGCGCTTATATGCAGGGAGTTTCCCCCGGCCTCGAGAGGCCTCCTGCTCTGCAGTAGTGCTGACCCGAATTTGCTAGCAATTCTTCTAGCAAAATATCGAAGAATTTTGAAAGGGAATTTGCTGGCAAAATGGAGCAAAATATCGGTGTGTTGGCTGGGAATTGGGAGATTTTACACATATACGGTGCACATGACTCATTTCGGCACAATTTTACCAACACGTGACTCACTTTTTCTCATTTTTGCCAACACGTAACCCACTTTCGGTCAGTTTTCTCACACGTGACACAAATTTTGGAGCAAAAAGGGAGCAAAATATCGAGTGGCCTAGCCTAGCAAAATGAAAGCAAAATTTCGACGATGCACGAGCAAAATTATGCCGCAAAATATCGAGATTCAGCTGGCAAATTCGGGTCAGCACTACTCTGCAGTCTGCAGATCTGCATATGTCTGTTATGTAATTGTTGCGCACGCGCGCACTGCATGCAGGGCCTGGCCTGCCATGCATGCGCCATATATGGCCCAGCATCAGGGAGTCGTCAAATACCATAATATATTTGACGACTCCCTGCCCACGGCTGTTAGCTGCACTTGGATCGCGGCAACTTAGTTTTCTGCACGTGAACCATGAAAAACCAATGCATGGTCATGCATGTTCATGCATAACCAGTCAGCTGGCCTGCTCGCCCACGCATTTGACAGGTAACAATTCCATCAAATTTGAGATATCGCTTCGTTCTAAGTCTCAAAACAGTTCTAAAGTCACCAAACCACGCTGGTAATCGATGGCTATTCAATGTTAACATCTTCAGGAAGACTTCAGCCGTTTCCCGAGAGTTTGGGCATCGTTGCCGTTATTTTTCACGGTGTTCTTCTTCCTCCTGTCTGGAGCTGCAATTGCATCCTGGAATTATTTGAAAGGTATTTCGTGCGGGCTGTGGGGGGTTCCAACAGGCATAAACTGACATCGCTATAGGATAACTGGTAACTTTCACCCTTCAAGGAGGTAGAGCAATGAGAATTTTTTTGTGGCGGTCGTCCAATTTTTGTGGCGGTCGTGGCTGTATTTGTGCACTTCCAAGGCTTTCATTCTGCCTGATACTACTCTCTACTGTATGGGAATTGTTGTTTAGGCACATGTAGCTGTCTTATTTGGTAGATCTGCTGTTTTCAATCACTTGGTACACTTTGTCTAGCCTATTTGTCTTTCGTTCGTGCCATCTATCAGTTTTGTGGGGTGCCTTGACCTGTATTTGTGAAGTTCTCGAGTAAGACCCTATTTCTTGACTGGAGTCACGTCTTGAATTGAATTTGCTGGGTGAGCCCTCGTTCACGCAGTTGTACTTATCGTAATAGTCAATATCTGCTTGCTGGACGGACTAGCGGCTAGAATAGGGATGACCAAATGGTCCAAGTGTGTACTAGTACACGATTATTGTTTCCATCATCGTGAAATGAGCGTTGTGGAATTGCAGTCGTCTGCCTTTGGCACTGAGGACATGAGGAGAGTTGATTGTTACTTCTTCTCAGTAATGAAGCGATCATCAGCTCTCTTTGTTCTAATTATTGAGAGGACATACCGGCATCGCAATCAAGTAAAGATTAGGCAAACCTCGCAAACCTCCAAAGAGAGTCGAAGATATTTTCTCCAAATGCAAAGACGATCTTTGTGAGTTTGTGACTTGCATTTGCGTGCATACATGAGCAAGTCACGGGCCACGGCACGTGCGCGGTTACCATGCCATCTCGAACCGACGCCATCTTTCTAAGTTGCCGCTTCTTGACAGCCGTGTGCCCAGCATCTACTAGGTTGCTATGGAGAAGATGGCGCAAGATTTCTCGTAGCGAAGGACTAAAGGGACCCTCACTTAATTTTTACCGACTTTCGCGGCAAAAAACACATTTCGACACGCGTGTGTGCTGGACGTCTGCGCGTGCACGACAAGACGTGTGAGCTGGCTGACAAGTGAGAGCCAGGGAGTCGCCAAGTACCGGCGTTTGACGACTCCCGGGGGGGATCCCGGCCTGGTGAGAGCATGCATGCATGCATGTCCAGCTGGCGGGAAAGGGAACCTATTTTGTAGATCGATGGGTTGAATGTGAAATTGTGGATTGTACACGAGGTTTGTTTTGATGTTCTGATACTTGTTGTAATGGCTAGTGATCTTGCAAACTGTTAACTGTTACTGTGACTTTTCCAAGTCCTACTGATATACCTTGTCAAATCAGATGCCCTGTAGTAGTCTTGGTGGAGGCAGACTGGAATGCGTTGAATTCGTAGCTTCTGAAATTGAAATTTATTTTTTCTTGAGTGACACTGACAAGCGATGGCATTGGCGACAGGAGAACTTTGCTTCCTTCCAGGAGAGCTGCATCGCAGTCGGATCCTGTCCATGCACATGCGATCATGCTGTGTTGTAGACAGTGGAGAGAGCTAATTTTGACCCAAGAAAATAGTTTTGAACATTCATGAAGAGGATATTGTTGCTGTAGCTAGCTGACAGACATAGCCTGTGGCAGTGGTGTATGAAATCAGCTTGCAAGGTCTGTAGCAACTTGATCATGCAGAGAAGGAGCTGAACTGCACACGCACTCGCTACTGCTCTCGCAAGATGATTGGCTTCTCTCCAGTGATCCAGCCCCCTCAACGCATGGATCCACTGCGCTTTGTCGTCGAACACATCAACACGCCTGTTGACGTTCACTGGGAAAGGTATCACTTCACGATGAGGAGCACACAGCACTCGTGGAGGCTTGTGCCGGGTGAGTGGCTTCTCTCCAGTGATACAGGCCACCTGGAGGCATCGGGCCAAGTGCGTTCTTTGCCGCAAGGGCCATATCAAAACAGCAACACCAGCAATGCCACGACTTCCTGACTTCAAGACAACTGGACCACATCAGTCATATGCCATAATTAGTGTCGGCTATGTCATCCCCTTCTATGCACGCCAGGGTCGAGATCGGTCACAACTCAAAGAGATATGTATGTGTGTTTACATGCCTGCTGACTAGGGCTTGTCATTTCGAGGTTATCTCTGGACAACGACGGTTTTCTCCTGGCTCTTAGACCCCGATTCACCGTGCGACGTGGTGTGCCACAAGAGATGCAATCGGACAACGGTACCAATTTCCGTGTGGCTGATCAAGAGGTAAAAGCAGCTGTCAAGTTTCTCGACAACTTCAGACTAGCAGCAGAAAGGTCATACCGCGACATTACCTGGTACTTCAAGCCACCAAGTGCACCACACTTTGGTGGTGTGTTCTAGGTAATGGCCAAGGCAATGAAACTAGTGCTGCATGAAGACCTTTAGCTGCTATTGCCACAACACTTTCTCATTGGCCATGCTAGGGCAACTGTTGCTGCTGAAGCCAACACATCTACAATGACTCAAGCTCACCCAAGAAAGCGCTGGGAGTTTGTGCAACGTATTGTAGATCAGGTATGGAAACGTTGGCTGAAAGAGATTGTTCCGAAGCTAAGCATCCAAGTGATGTGGTTGCTTCAACAGCATCACCCTAAGGAGATATCGTGCTTGTGATGGATAAGCACACCGCAACTGCACACTAGCCACTTGGACGTATGCTTATGACCTATCCAGGTAAGGATGGTGCTGTTCGGATAGTAGAAGTTTAAGTAGCTGGGAAGGTATACAAGCATGCAGTTCATCATCTTGAGCCACTGGAAGTTAAAGGTGCAAGTACTGAGCGAACTGTGATTGTTTTCATATTCATAGTAAAGAAAAAAAGACCAAAGAACTACCGTATTTCCACAAATAGTAGGCCGGTCTACTATTTTTTCAACCTCGTCCTAACCCGGCCTTATAATCGAGGACGGTCTTGTATTCGAGGACGGTCTTTTATTCTTTCAACCCAGTTTGACCCCCCGGTCTTCTATTTCTCGCCACACAGTTTTACCCCCGTTCTTCCATTCTCTTCTACACAGTTTGAGCACGGTCTTCTATTTTTAACACAAGAACAAAGACTCATTTAGTAGGCTTGGTCTTCTAATCGGAGACGGTCTTTTATTTTTTCAATCGCCCCCTGCCCCGGCCTTGTATACGAGGAAGGCGTTGTATACGAGGACGGCCTTTTATTTGCGGAAATACGGTACAAGTTATGCTATACTGTCCACTAACACCACCAGTTACTTGACAATCAGCTCATGCAATAACAAGAATTATAACATTGCACCAAACTGACCGACAGTACTGACGTTCTACAACAAACTGGCTATCAGCTCTAGCACGTCTTGTAGGTCCTTGGTCCTTTTCTTCCATCCGAGTTTTCATATTCAAGTTTTCATATTCAATTGCCATTGTTTTTGTCATGTTTTTCTTCTTGTTGTCTTCGTCTTTTACTCACTCATGTGATATTTATCACTTTTCTTTCACGAGGGAGATATGTTAGATTTAATCTCCTATTTCTGTGTAATTTACATGTACTACTGTGTTCAATGGTGGTGAACCACGATGCATTGATCATCATGAATGCATGTGACATGCGTCACAGATCTGGTTTCTATTGCTGGCATCTATTACGCCTGACTGC